CTAGCAGTGCATTACAATATTCCAGTCTAGAGGTCATGAATGCATGAACTAGCTTTTCTGCATCAGAAACAGTTAACATGTTTCGTAACTTGGTAATGTTTCTAAGATGGAAGAATGCTGTTTTTTGTAACATGGGAAATATGATTTTCAAAAGATAAGTTGCTATCTAATATAACATCCAAATTTTGACTGTAGAGGAAGTAACAGTACCTCTGTATAGTTGCAAATTGTAATCCAAGAGATTCTGTTTACTGTCTTTTGGTCCAATAAGTAATATCTCTGTCTTATCTGAATTTAATAGGAGAAAATTATTGGTCATCCAATCTTTTACATTTTTAACACACTCTGTTATCTTAGATAATTTAGAAGTTTCATCTGGTCTTGTTGAGATATATAGTTGAGTATCATCAGCATAACAGTGGAAACTAATCCCGTATTTTCTAATAATATTACCAAGGGGCAACATGTATATTGAAAATAGCAGAGGACCTAGGACAGATCCTTGTGGCACTCCATATTTTACTGGTGATAATTGAGATGACTCCTCATTTAAACGAACAAAATGGTAGCGATTGGACAGGTAGGATCTAAACCATCTTAAAGCCTGCCCTTGAATACCAGTATAGTTTTGTAATCGATCTATATCTGTGATCATTTCATTTACAATAGCTGCTTTGGGTGAGAGTGGTCTAATGTTTAGGAGCCCAAACTTTAAAAAAACTTTTTTGTTCATTTATTTTAAATTTTTCTGGTTTAATCACGATCAGATTTTTTCTAGATCCTGCATTAAATTTATATTTTGACCTCACTATTCGGGGAACAGACACAGTCTTTATAGATTGTACAGCACAAGTACTTCTATCATTTAAGCGGGTAGAACAAAAATCATCAGGGCAGTTATTTGAGATTTGACACTAGTCATATGGTACGTAGCATCCTGGAGATGTTGTCCGAAAGGAGTTCCGCTCCAACTCTATCCTTATGGCAGGATCTCTCATCTCTGCAGGAATCTCTGATTCACTATTATAAGTGGTCATTGGGTTCTTATTGACTAACTTTAGCAAGGTCCAGGAATAATTTTTATAAGTACATGACTTGAATATTGTATTTGTGGCTTTGGCAACCTGCTGATTAATGCTCCAAAAACTAAAGCTAGAGGTTTAAAGCACAGTCGAGGTGGCCCTTGAACCAGTTTGATTTATTCTCATTGCATCTCCTCAATGAGAGCATGTACGAGACAATACATGTATGTAAGATAATGTCATTGAAACTGTGGTCTTTCATCACTGCCATAACTATCCCCAGTTTTTGCATGTGTACTGTAAATAACTTTATGATCTTTATAAACTTTGACAGCTTATTCAGTATGTGCGAAGTAAATAATTGGCAATTGGCATTTTATATGTCTCTTTATATGTCCAATACTAAAGACAAAAAATTAAAAAATTAAGTAAATATGAAAATTGTAATATGAAATAAGTTTAAACTAAATTTAGATCAAAGTGTTCCTAAGTATTGTATCTAATAGATGAAGTAGTGAAAGTCAAAAGAAAAGCTCAAAAGAAGTACGGAATCTGCAGAATGCAAGGAGAGAGGAAAAGCAGATGAAGCAGAAAAAGGGAGAAGAAGGAGTAAAGAGTAAAGTAAAAGAAAGAGTAAGAGATCAGAGTAGGCACAAGGAATATGCAGGAAACGTATATCCTCCCATGTTTATGTCTAATAAGAAAAGGTCACATAGACTTTTCCATTATGTCACTCATACATTGTGTCATCTGTTGTTGAAACAACTATAGGTCAGGTCAGGCTACAGTATGTCATTGTGACCAGTCAAAGATTGCGGTTAAAAATAGGTTATGTGGTTTTCACATCTTTAGAAGGAATACAGCAAAACAAGCACTTTGAAATGGCATATCTTATGTTACAAATACATTTCAACAGCAACAGACCATCTAGTACTATTAACGAAATAATTTTAAGAAACACCATTACTCAGGCAGTAGTTGAAAGATGTCCAATATCTAACAAAACACCAGTAAAAAAGATATATCCTCCATACATATATAAAATGTGCATAACATACATATATTTGAATATGATGAGGATTAATATAAGAAGCATAAACACAAAATAAAAATCAATAAAGGATAAATCATAAATGAATACATGGATATCAAAATTAAGGAAAATATAACAACATTGATTATTTGGATACACACACACACACACACACACACACACACACACATATTAGGGCTGCCCTCGACTAAGAATTCTGGTCGACTAGTAGTCGTTCATTTTAAGCATTAGTCGACTAATCGCACGTTTATTAATAAACCATTTAAACAATTAAACGCACAACATATTAAAGCGTCTTTGGTGGTTCCATGTTTTCTACAAAACAAAACCAGAAATCGAGGGGTTATGACGTCATTGGCAGCGACACAATGACACTATGGACACGCTACTTGTCCCTAGTTAAAATTACTTATTTCTCTGGATT